TTTCCAGGTGAGCTGGTGGTGGTGTTGGTGGGAATTGCTGCTCCACAGCACATGAGCTTCTTGTTGAGGGATACAGTGCTAGAGAAAACTCTTGAGCAACAACCCAGAGAGGCAGAGCTGTCCCACAGCATCAGCAAAAGAGCACAAATCCCCCTCTCCATGGGGTGGAAGGTGATTCCCTCACCTGCAAAGGTCTCTGCCAAGCATAGCTAATTCCCCTGGAGCAGGGTGGCATCCAGAGGAGCTTCAGGGAAAGTGCTGGAGAACCAGAGGAAAGCAGCTCCCTCCGCTCCTGCTGATCCAGCCCCCTCTGCCGTGTGCAGGCACCCAGCCAGGGGCACATCCCTGGCCACAGGGGACAGCGAGCACCTCTTGGCAGGGACAAGCTCAGCAAGGTCAGGAAGCAGAGGCAGGACAAGGAGGGAGGTGGTGACCTCCTGGTACCACTGGGACCATTCCCAAGTGCAAGCAGTGTCACGGCTGCCAGGAGCAACCCTACTGGAGCAGATCATCCCTTGCCTCTGAGTGCCCTTCTTGCCCTGGGTAGGATCATGGACTCAGTCCCCTGGAGAGAGGGGGACAGGCAGGGGGTGTAGGAGTGAATCTAGCTCAGAGGCTGAAGATCAGCATCCTCATGCCCACCCCGGGGATGCATAACTGTGGTGGGACTGAGATGGAATCCTGGGCCATGGGCAAGGTGGGAAACCCCACCTGGGGCTGGCCAGGTCCTGATGACCTATCAGGGAGTAAGTTCTTTCTCTGTTTTTAAACTCATTGCAGATTCAGAGGTGACACATCAAGAATAACTCAAAGCTTCTGCTGAACCAATCTGTAGCTTTTCTGTTCTCTCCTTCAGACCAGTTATAGACGCAGTCTCATGACAAGAAGTCTCAGTTTCACTGTGTGGTGGATTGGATCGTGCTAAAGTTTCTCACAATACATCCAAGATCCCTTGATAGGAGAAGCAGTGAATACTCACCCTGTATTCATGGAAACAACAGAAACCTGCTGTTTTCCATGCTAGTAATGCCTGGCCCTGGCTGGGTGGCTGGGATGCACCGGCAGCATTCAGACTCCTAAGGCCTGAAAAACTGGCTGGAAGTCTCTGTCGAAACGTGTTATCTCACAAGATTTATGGTCCATCCTGCTCCAGGCAAAGTCATAAATACCACCACAGTGATCACTCCGGATATTACTGCATTTTTATGCATCTTCTCTGACATTCACAGCAGAGGGAGAAATGGGGTGGGAACATTTACACTTTCACCCCCAGCTCCGGCAAGGAGCTTTCCGGGGGTTTGGTGTGGGTATTCAGGGAGGCGGAGAATAGGCTCCCCCTATACGCAATTCCCAGTGTGGAATTCTGGCTGGAAAATAAAGTAACATTGTGCTCAAGGATGAATACCTGCACAAGACCAGGAGGGGGATTTTAAACTCATAGGACTAGACACTTGGGAAAGGCAAGACCTCTCCTCAGCCTTTCCCAGCCCCATATGCGTTACCCCAGGGACCAGCACATCGAAGCTTGTCAGAAATTCAAAGCGAGGATGGGATGAAGCCCCTGCCAAGGACTGCACCCGTCTAGGGTGGCTGCAGTGAGGCTGTGGTTCCGAGGGCACACTCCTCAGCACTAAAGATCCAAACTGGTTTGTGGGTGGAATAATCTGCTTGTTGCAAGGCTGTGGAACCAGGGCACCCCCACTTTGGGAGAGCTCTGTCTCCCCAGGATTCATGTGGGAGGTGAGGACAGGTCTCCCAAGCTTTTCTGCTGAAGATGTCTCACATCACACAAATAATTGCACAACCTTGAGCTAGGGAAGGGAGGGGGAAGGATGACTGGAGGAGGCTGCAGCCAGGTCCAGTCCCTCTTCCTTATGGTGGTAGGGCCCCAGGAAGACAGGACTCATATCTGATAGGGACAAATGCTTACAAAAAGGCATCTTCAAATAACCCAAACCAAAACACTATCTTAGCAAAAATTATTTTAAGATAGCAACATACATTTAGCCAGACACCTCGGCCCTATGCTTCCCACAGACCACAGGGAGCTGCCTGCTGGCTATGGAAGCAGAGCAGCGTGCTTTGCAATTTTCCAGGCAATCCTGAAGTCCCCCTCAACCCTTTGGAAGGCAGAACATGATAGGCAACTACCTCCACCTGTCCCTCACTGGTTGCAGAGGAGCTGCAGGATGACATTGTGTGCCCCTCTCTGCCTGGTGGGGGGTGGAAGTCCCCAGGAACACAGGCCAAGCTGGCATCCTGTGTTTGCCATCATCACCCTCAGGGCTGGCAGGGGCGATGCTGAGCCTGCTCCAGGCAGTCAGTCCCTCTGGCTGACAGAGTGGCACGTGTGCTGCCCCCTCTGACTGCCGAAACTGGGGCATATTCACAGCATCCCTTCCACCCATCACCCAGTGAGGGTTGCGATGCTCAGGTGAAAGGTGGTGATGAGCAGAGGTGGCACTACCAGCACTGCCTGCCATCCCCGTGACAGATGCACAAGCTGATCCTGGCCTTGGCATCTCCTGCTTCTTGCGCTCATTCACTGTTTGCTGCTCTAGCGGTACTAGGCCAGCACTTCATCTCGCACAGGGAAGCACCAGTTTAACTCTGCAGCACTCCGAGGCTGCACAGTAAGTCCTATATGGCTGCTGGGAAAGAGGGAAGAGAAACCAGTGCAGTGCTCCTGAGTGGTATCTCCCTGGGGAAGCACCATCAGATCTGTGAGTTACGCTTATATTCCCTTCTTGTTTTCTGGGAAAATACTTTCTTTTCAGAGATATAGTTCTCCAAGTGCCAGCAGCTGCACATACACTTTGCAGCAAGGCCCCTTGGCTTCAGTCCAACCTCAGAACAGACAGGGATTTGACTTGTAGCTTGGCAACTGAGACACTCATATGTTTAACTGCGGATCTATTTAATTGTTATATTTAATTCAACTGGAGAAGAAACCCTGTGCTCAGCTGTTTAATACTGCCTGAACAAGAGTGGTCCTTTTCTCTTTTCTGTTTCCAGAGAAGTCCCAGTAACAAACGACCAGCCCAGGGCCCTAAGTCCCAGCCAAATTCACAGGGCTGACACCCAGGAGGGAGCCTGGGCCAGACCTCTGCCATGATGTGGGAGCTGAGGCATGACCCTGGGACTAGCTGTCCCAAAGCTGAATTCCTGGTTGTGAAATAAGCTTCTGTTTAACAGGGAATCCCTGCACTTCATCCCAATAATGTGGCAGTAAAGGGTTACAAAATGTTGGTCTCAAACAGCACTCTCCACCCTCATCACTAGGAGCAAAAAGTTCTGAAGTGGGTTTCCACATTAGGGCTCATAACAAGATGTAACAGCTGTAGTTAAAATTACTCCATTTCTGCTGCCTCCCACCACCCAAGGGAAAGTTATTTTTTAACTCCAGGTTGCCCAAGGGGTGCTCTACAGTAAGATCTGTTGCATCGTTGCCAAGGGTCTTTGCCTGGCAAGAAATTTGGGAAGAGAGAGCCCTTCCTTCAACCAGCTGGGATCAGTCTAGAGCCCAAGGGTAGGCACCCCGCAAACTGACCCCTCCAGGCTCTGCAGCTCCTCCTGAAGGAGCAGAAGCTCCCACTGAGGCAGCTCTGGAAGTGTAGAGGACTAGGTGCTTGGCCAAGTCCTCTTTTGCTATGCTTTTGTTCTTCTCAGTTTTCAAATAAACTTAGGCTGAAGCTATTCCAGGAGCCACAGTGGCACCGTGCAGGCAGGACCTCGAGTGCACTGAGTCAAAAGGACAGTCATGCAAAACCAGAGGGGATTAGCTTTTAATGCGCTTCTCAGGGTAAACCCTGAAAGTGTGGGATTGCCAAGATCCCAGCAGAAAAACTAGCCAGCTTGCTGCCCTCCTGACAACAAATCCACTACCAAACTCTCCCAATGTCAGGCAAACTCACACAGAAACATCGGAAGGGCCGTGGAAGCACAGGAGCACCCCAGGCATTGCCTCCCCATCATATGTGACCACATGGTACCGTCCCATCTCCTCTGGCCCTGGCACAGTGGCACAGCTCCAGAGCTCCCTGGGGACACCTCATGCGAGAGTTCAGGAGCCTGTAGAAGAAATGCTGTGTGCATGTGAGTGTAGTTATTGCAGCCCAGCTTTGTCTTTGGGAATGAATGTGGTACTGTTCAACATCTGCTACATTTGCTCTCAGGGGTCTCTGAGCTAAACTGAGATAACCTGGCTGTGCACTTGGTTTTTTCCATGTCTACCTTCATTGATGTCTCTATTAAAACCCAGCAGTAAAACTGGGAGATAGAATACCAGGTGGAATTACAGGATTTTGTTTTTATGTTACTTAGCATTTTGGAGTTGAATTTTTAGACTACTAGAACTTTTCTTAAAGGCTTTTCTCTCTCTGCTGCATCATGTGCAGCAGACATTGTTATTCAGGTGTTTTGCTCTGCCTTGCAAGTAGTCCTTGTGCCTGCTGGGTCTCTTGTGGTTCATACTCTTATGTTTTGCCCCAGAGAAAAAAACATGTGTTGGAAAAAAAGGCAATACACCCTGCACTACAAGATGCAGCAACCACTACTAAGACTCTGGAGAAAATCAGAAAGGTCTGGAAATTGGCAAGTCTCTCCCAAGGTTTTATTTGGAATCTGTCAGTGACCTGTTGTGTGTCTGACCTGCTGAATCACCACCACAACCTTCCCCTCTTCAGAGCTCAGTTTCCCTTCCTGATCCCTTAGGAATAATCCATAATAATACTTTGTAATCTGCAGGAGTCTGCTACAAATGCAGGTTTAAGAGCTGTGAATACGCAGAGTCCAGAGGTTGAGCATATCTGTCACGAGAGGGAGGATACATCTGGTACTCCTGCAGAAGTCTTGCACCATCCAGCACACAGACATGCAAGACCCAAGACTGCAAAATGAACCTCTGAATGCTGTATAGGTGGAACAGGCATGAACCTCACCACTACAGAACATGAGCTTTCACCTTAAATATTTTTAAAAAAAGAGAGGAAGGCTCTGAATTTTGTTACCATTCATGTATACATTTATTAAGCCAAAGGAGTTTGATCATATCACTGTATGTTACTAGAGTACATGAGATCTTTTCAACTTCACTAACAATGGTTATTTAAGTTACTTTTTATTTTTGCCTTTCAAGCTTAAAAAAAATTTACTCTTTCTGCATTCTCCATGGAAGGCTCTTTTATGTTTTTTTTTCCTTTCCTTTTCTTAAAGTACAAAACAAATATTTCTTAGACATGTAAACAACCATCATGGAAATGAAACTGCTTCTAAAGTTAACTTTACTGTTATGGACGTTCTGATAGATTTATGTCATATTGGATGTATTTCAGCTCAGTGACTCCCTCAATGGAAGTAATTACTGTTATCATCACCTGCACTGCACAGAGGCCCCGGTCAGAGTTAAGGCCCTTCTGTGCAAGGTGCTGTACAAACACTTCGGTGTAACTCTGAGGTCACTGATGTGACTATAACCCTCCCTGCTTCTCCACTGTGATCCTCACAAATTGCAGGAGCTTGAGTGAAACTTCTCCAGGCTAACTCTGGAGCTGATGTTCAGCTACTGTTGAAGAGAAATGTTACTGCGGGCCACTCCTGACACCTGCAGTTCTGTGCGTAAAGCCACTCACACTCATGGGAATGCTCATAGGAGTAAGAAACTCCTGCGGGGGAGGTCTGCAGGACTGAGTCCCTGGATCATTGACCTCCTTTGCAAGAAAGCATGCAAGAAAAACAGACGTGTTCCTTTTCTCTAATGTTTCATCAATATAGTTCTAAGAGAGAAAGGGACGGGGTCAGTTGCTCAGTTTCAGCACCTTGAGTATTTTGAGTTCTGATCCTCAAATTAAAGAAGTCTCTGATATGCCTTGGGCTACTGTGACCAGGTCTGAAAAAGTCAGTTGGACGTTCTTTGTCATAAGGAAGCAGTGGTTTGCCATTACTGTATGGAGGGACTCTGTTTTGTGGTATGAAGGCTGCACCCTTGGCAGGAATTGTGAAGATTGTGTTTGGCCATCAGCAGAAATTATTCTGAAAACATTTCAGAGCAATTGCAGTTTAAATAATGATTACAACTTCATATTTGAGGTGAAAAAAGAAAGGATTAAATGAAATAAATAGCAAAGAATCATTGCCTCTGCATAAACATAACGTATTCCTGCTATGAGGCATTTCCTGCAAATTACTGCCCTTTAGGTTATGTCTGATATTTAAATGAACCCTTTAGAGCTAAAATACAGTACTCTGAAATGAGGTTAGAAAAATTTAAAAAGGACTAATGGGAAATGTGTACAAAGCTCTCTTTAAAACTGATTTCCCACCTGGGTAGCTTGTGAGTGTGAGGCCTCAGTAGACATAGAGCCGATCTGCGATGGCAGCAGGCATGTGTGTCATGATCTGCATGCGCAGCCACCAGTAGTAATCCATGGGGTGGTAGCGGGTGTAGGGGGTGGTGGAGGTGAGGGCATGGGCGACGCTCTCGATGACGGGCGAGGTGTCCCTGGAGCCGCTGTTGCAGTAGTTCTCCATCTTGCTGACCTGCTCATCAAAGTACTTCCTGCCATAGTCCTTGCGCACGATCTCCGGGAGCTCGTCCCACATTTTGTCGGCAATGGCTTTGATCCGCTCGGGGCTGTACAGGTTGGTGCCAGCGATGAAGTTGCCGGGCTCCACGATGCTGACCATCACTCCCTGGGGCTGCATCTCGTACCTCAGGCAATCGGAGAAGGCTTCCACGCCAAACTTGGTGATGCAGTATGGGGAGCGGGCAGGGCTGCCCATCCGACCCATCATGCTGCTGATGTTCACCACACGCCCTAGGCAGAGGCCAGGCAGAGCACAGCTGCGCTGTGGCACCTGACCCAGGGCAGATACCTGGCACACACCACCCAACAGATTCCTGAATGTGCATCCCCCTCCTGCCCACTGCAGGGCTGCCTGGCAGACCTGTTCATGGCTTTACCTGAGCAGAGCTGTCCTATGCAACAGCCTTCAGGCAGGAGAACAAGCCCAGTGCTCGTGCTCCTTGGCTCATTATACCTGAGGGAACACATGGTGACATACAAAGCTGTGGGGAACACAGAAGAGACTGGAGAGAGCCAGCACAGTGGGAAACAGGATTGCTCAGCATCAATTTGGACTGAGCCCAGACAAGAGGAAGCAGAAGCAAGGAAGGAAAGCCTCTGGCACCAAAACGGAGCTTGTTTATTTGCAAACCAAAGGCACAAAATCCAGGAGCCCAATGGTGGCTCTTAGGAATGGATTGCTCCAGCACCATGAACAGGCAGAGCAGTTTAAGTTCACTGTACCCTTTTTTGTGTGACAGCTGGATTATGGCTCCAGGTACAGAGTTGGGGCTTTATCCTTTCTAGAAGCCATCCATTTTGGCTGAGAAAAATGCTGGTAGGAGGCTGTGGATGCTATAGTCTAGGTAGAAGTTGCAGTTCTCCGCACTTTCTATCAGTGCTAATTGCTAAGTTGTGTTAGAAAGACAAACCTCACCCGCAGAAATGGAAACCCTTCCACGGTGGAAGAAATACTACCCAGGCCACATCCAGCCCAGGTCTGCAGCACAGGACAGCATTGTTAATGCCTGTAGATGCCTCGAGAGTGAAAAATATTCTCATTTATTTGGGTAGTTTGCCCTAGGAAAGGTTTTGTTTCTTTATAATGAGACCCATGCAAGCTCCGGGTCTGTGTGCCTTTGCTGTACAAATCCCACCTCTCCTACATTACAGACTCCCAGAGCCCACAACTTCCCTGCAAGAAGCTTTTTACACTGCTGCTGCCCACCTTGTCAGCACTGGCACAGCTGTTTTTTATATAGCAGGGAGGATTTCTCCTGGCATTTATTACATTTATCACATTATGCTGAGCTGCAGCTTCTGAACGGGTGAAAGAAAGTATGATGGATTAGATCTTGTGTGGGATGCTGCAGGAGAAGGCAGCACAGATGGGAAAGAGAAATAATTGGTTTTCAGGCCTGCTGCCTGGCTGTGTAACTCAGAGAGGTCAGGCAGTCCCTGCTGGGGCCACGTTGTGTCTGTAAAGGTAGGGAGGTGGCCACTGGTGCAGAGAGCAGTGCAATAGACCTTTTGGCCTTTAACACCACAAGATGTGGCTGGATCAGGGACCTGCTACAGGGAGAGCCAATCAGGAGGGGATCACTCACCCTTTGACCTCCGGATGAGCGGGAGGAAAGCCTTGGTGGTTCTCACAGTGCCCCACAGGTTCACTTCAGCTACCTCCATGTAGGTGTCCATGCTGGTGAACTCAACTTCCCCGAATGTGGAGATCCCAGCATTGTTAACCAGCCCCCACAGCCCTACAAGACAAAATCAAGCACCCCCATGAGACTAATGAGAGCAGGTTGGTAAAAGCCTTGCTAATAGATTATTGAACCACATAACAGAGTTTTTCATTATGTCTTGTACTGATGGAAACCACATAGAAGACAGTCCAGAGCACACTTCATTCTTCTGAGCATATATAACCACAGTTGGGATCTGACTGTACCATCCAACACTGCAGCCACAAAGTACTGTGAACAAGGTTTCCTGGGAAGTTCTGAGCCAGCAATCAGAGAACCTCAACCTTGTCTGAGCTGTTTCCTTGCCACTCTATATTTATCCATTGTGAATTTTTAAAAGAAACAATATAATAGTCTCTAAATGCAAATAATAAGAATGGGAATGACCTTGTAAGAAACAAAAGAGTAATTCTTTCAAAGTAAAATCCATTCTGTCACCGTAAGAACTACAATGTCTGCTGTGCTGGGAAGGAGAATGTAGGCATGGATGGGCATGCATGCAACAGCCTATGCTGTTTATTCTGCTACAACCAAGATGGTAACAACTAAAGCTACCTACTTAAAAAGAAAGACTGAAAAGGAATTTTGAATAAAATCAACTCACCTTATATAATATTCTAATTGTACAAGAAACATACTGAGAAAGGTCTAAGAAAGGCTTCTGTCTGCTGTCCTCAGAAGTAGCTCAGAAAAGGCAACTTCCTCCTGGCCTGGGCTTGAGAACACAGGGCTTGAAAACTTAACTTATATAGAAGATGCAGACATAAAAATTAAATATAAAGAAGGGCAAAAGAAATAGGTTTATGCAAAATCCAGAAGTAAACATTATTGCTTGTTCTGCTTTTAAACAACCTTGTGTTGAATGTGATGTTCTTTAGGGAAAAAATGTACTTGAACAAAGGAAAGGTTTCAGAAATGTATGAGCAATGGGGATTTTTACAGTACTGGAGCAGAATTTGTTGTCGTCACCTCAGCAGAATGGCAGGCTATGAAAGTCAGTTACAGCTACCCCCTAAACTCAAAATGTTTGTATCTGCAAAGACATTAATGATTAGCTCAGTTGGCTAAAGAATGGTGCTAATAAAGTCAAGGCTGTGGGTTCAATCCCTGTATGGGTCATTCACTTAAGAGCTGGACTTGATGATCCCTGTGGGACCATTCCAACTCAGAATATTCTGTGAACTCTGTCACGATACTCAGCCAGCTTTATGGGAAACTCTTTGGAAAACTTCTTCATTTCCTTTGCCATTTGAAAGAATGGGGGAGACATTTCTATTGTTAATCCCCAATCCTTGGGCACTGGGCAGGTTTTACAACACAAAGGGAGTCACAATAAACTTTAGTTCACAGGAACAAAGCACTAATCCCAGAGCCTTGAACACCACTCTGGTTTTTGCTAATATCCCCACGGGAGCTAGTGGAGAACAAAGCAGTATCCTTTGTAGATGCTGTCTGAAGTGGGAAGCTGCTTTCGGATATAGCACAATATTCAAACAGGCCATTTGCTCTGCACGGCTGCTCATTAAAGATTTGTGCTCTTTAATCATGTGATCAGCTTTTGAAATATACTCTGACAGTGCTCTTGGAGCCCAGCCAAGAGAGTTCCTGCCACCTCTGTGACCTCAGAGCCCATGCCATGCACTCGCCTTTCTCTGGGTCCTCCAGGCTGCTGTTCACATGCTCCACTGCTCGGTCCACTTCTTTGCTGTCACAGACATTGAGCTGGACCGTTCTCATCCGATCACTCTTCATGTTGTCCAGTTCCTTGGAGCCACCCTCTCCTTTGTCCTAGAGGGAAAGAAAGTGTTAGTTTGAATGTGGCCAAAGAGCCTGCACAGAATATCAAATGCATAGCAACCATCAAATCAAGCCAAAGAGTGAGCAGGGCAGTCACAGAATAATCAGGACAGTCCTGCAGCCCTAAGAGGAAGGGGAACAGACAGGGCTGGTCCTGCAGAACACCATTCCTCAAGCACCTTCATCTGACCATGAGCCTTACACCAAGTCACCTGGTACAAACTGCTTCAACCACCAAGCAGCCAGAGCAGCTGGGTGCTCAGAGAGGGACTCCTGGGACTGGGACCCTGGCCAAGAGTTGTGGGTCTCAGTTAATGCCCAGAGTCCAAGACCTTTCCCTTGGCTCTTCAGAAAGGGCAGATGGGAGGTATCAAGCCAGGGACCTGGTGACTGTGTTGCGGTCTCCTGGCACAGGATGCAGCCAGTCCCACAACCCCTGGGCCCACACACAGCAGTTAAAGGACCTTTTCATGCTACAACAGCAGCCCCAGGGCATACTGTCCCCAGGGCAAGAGGGCCCAGCTATTGCTTACTGAAAAAGCACATCACTGCTTTGTCTTCCTCCTTCTATGGTTGCTCTCTGGTGCTCATGGGCTTTAGCAGTTTGTATCTCTATCAGTGTGTCCTGCAGTCTGTAACACCCTGTGGCCCTGAGCACTCCTTTGAGCCCTGCAGCAGCTGGCCTGCTTGCTGCCCTGCTCAGAGAACCTCTGCTTTCTCACTGCCCTGCAAGACATGACGGCTCCCAAGCCGCACTATGCTTCTGATGTGCAGATGTGCTGCCAAAAACAAACAAACCCATGAAAATAACACTGAAGTTTCACAGTCATTTCCTCGATGTCAGGGCTAGGTCAAATTCACCCAAGCAAAAGATGATGCTTCTTACTTCTACCTCCACTTCCATCTAGCATCTAAAAACACACCAAGCTTTTTCTGCTGATAAAATCAGCACCAGCAATAATCACTCTCCGATCAGAATTCTGCTTACGGTTTTGCTAGTAAAATCTGTAGCACAGTGAGAAATCAGCTCAGTCACTTGGAGTTGTTTTCATTCTATAGAAAGTATATGGCCTGAAGATACACAGGAGGCCAAGCAGTCAGCTAAGGAGCTTCGGTATTTCCCAGTGTTCTTCTGATGACAACTGCTGTTACTAGTCTTGCCATGGCCACAGAGATTTTGAAACATGGGATGTGAGTCCAGCTAAAGAAGCAATATTTAACTACAGAGTGACACTGCAAGGCTTTTTGCTGATTTCTTTGTGAGGAAGTAAATATTGGTCAAAGCTTAAAAGACTTATGGCATGCTGCTGCATGTCAGCTTATGGTAAAATTGTGAGATGCCAGGATTTTACACTAACATGCACTCAGTAGAACGAGTACTGAAGACAGCAAAATGGAAGGGAGCTTTCAGTGACAGAAAACTGGGTCTTTCTAGCAGCTCAGACAGAGGAAGTGAAACTCAGAAGTAACTGCAACTCTGAAACTTTTGGCTCCTGTCAGTGTAGAGGCAGGCTATTACTCTGAACGGTATTTTTTAAGTATGCAGTGTTCTTATATTATCTAATGCTGATCTTCAGTTACAAAAGCTGAGTAGAAATATCTTATCAAAAAAGTACTCATCTACCCTTTCCCTTGACCCCTTTTGAAAGGCAGCAGTTCGTAAATAAGTGTTTTGTTCTGCTGTAACGCCTGTAGAGGGAGCCCAGCTAACAAAGAAATCCTTGGCCCAATGCTGAGACACTACAAGGCACAGAGTTATGGAGACAAACACTTCTGTTTTGAAAAAATGCAGCAAAAATAAATTACTGATTTAAGCAAAACTTAGTAGAAATAATTCTGATAATATCAAAGAATACCTGGCAAATTCTCTTTAATATCATTATTCAAGATACATTTATGGTGATGAGTGATCTATAAGATTAGATCAAAATAACTGACCCAACCCAGGATATCCTGAGGAGTAAGTTTGTTTCTGTTGGGAAATGGCCACGCAGCTAAAAAAAAGTACAGTGCTTCGTAAGGAGAGAGAGGCTAAAGCTCTCTCCTGTTCTCCATGACCAGGCATCTCTGATTGTCGCACAGAGCACTCCTGCAGAGCATATCAAGGCTGCATCACTGAGTTGTTTGAAGCCTGATTCTGCTCTCATTTGCACTAGTGGGACTGACCTATACAATGATTTCAGGAGACCCTCAATACCCACAAAGGCATGGCTCATGAATATAGAAAAATACTCTCATATCACATGCCATAAAATCACTGGTGTCTTGGTGAATGGTACAATTATTCAAAATAAACCCTGCATAAATATGTATGGTCTGAGAGCAGGGCCAATGGTCCTGACTCAACCTGACCTCCAAATTTGCTTGTGGATAAGCCTAAAAAGTTAGATTTGGGGTTCCAGTGCATTTGACATGGAATAGACCACAATGTTGTGATTTAAATAAGAACATCCTTAAGTACTGTTCAGTCCTGGTTCTGGTCTAGACCAGGTTTTGCTCTCTGAAATTCAAGCAGCCGTGTCTTTTGGTTTACCACCCACCCTCTCTCTCCTAGGCAGAAACCTGTGCAGAGAGGAAAGGGAAAATTGGGTTTGCTATATGTTGGTGCACATGCCATGGGTGAAGAACACAGTTTTTGTTTTCCCTACCTTTTGCAGGCAGCCAGCGTAAATAATGAAGCCTTTGCCATGGAGGTGCTTGGCCAAGGCAAATCCAAATCCTGAGTCACAGCCGGTTATAAGCACAGCTCTGCTGCCAATCTGCAAATCAAAACAGAACAAAACACACTGGAATTATTTGAAATCAGTGATTTGCAGTTCACAGAACAAATCATGTCCTTGGCCAGGAGCAGCCTGTTCCAGGGATGTTCTCCATGCTCTTTGCCAACTACTGCCACCCAGTGCCTCCTGAAGACAAGAAGTGAAGGTTTCATACTGAGTTCACTCCATTGAGGCAGGATCACTGTCCTCCCAACATGAAGAGGAGTTTGGCACTTCTGGTAACAGGCTCCCAAGGCAAACAGAACAAGCAAACCGCCATTCTCTGGTAGTTCACATCCATCTTGAACTCTGAAAGTATACCAAAGAGATCCCAAGACATGTTTTCCCTTCCTCAGGAACTGTTTCTGTATGTTTAAAGCATCTCAAGTAGCCCAAAGGGCATGGAGTAATGAATTTGACTGAAGAAACAATACAAATTAATCTTACTGCTCACTTGTCTTTCTCTCTGTAGCACACGAACCCTCTAGTGCTGGGTTTTAAAAGCTAAGCAGAATCAAGTGGGATTAATATTTAAAAGTAAGACCTGTTAGTCATCAGTCTTTTTGCTTGGTTAGGTTTTGTTGGCCTTCTTATTTTTCCAACTTACAATTTAAATAGAAGTATACCTCATTCCTTCTCCAAACTCCTTCTTCTGACCCAAAGAGAGGCAGCAATTAAGTGACATGCTAAAAATTGCATGGTGTATCAGACAGTGCAACAGCAACATTTGCACATCCAACAAAGTGCTGCTGTGGGTGGGATTAGGTGATAATTACCTGATATTCATTCCAACTCATCTCTTTTAACGAGCTATAAATTTGGCTTTCCCCAGCATACACAAGGACCAATCAGGGTCACACTGGAAGCCCAGCAGTGATACAAGAATCGTATCTGAGTTCCTCTGAGACTCTGTTCCAGAGTTATGGAGCAAGCTGTGCATGTTCTAGCACTGCTACAGTGCTGAGTTCTGTGCCACAAGAGAGGCAAGAGGGCAAAATACTCCCCTTCCTTTTGCCAGGCACTGTTCCTGGCAAGTCAGCACCTTCAGGGAGAGGGCTGTTAAAGGGGGCCACTCTCCAGATCAAGTGGTGAGAACATATCAATTTATTTACGTCTCTTTAGACAACCACACCCCAGAAAGAGTGCTTTATTAAGAACTTGTCATGCAAATTCCCTCCACTCTAAGGTGGAAGATTTCATCTGCTGAGTGAGTTCCAAAAATAGAAAAAGCCCACTCGTATGATTGTTTATTTCCATCCTTAGCAGCGTGTACCGTGCTACGTCAGTGGAAGCTCTGTGATAGGAAAGAATGTGGAGTATGTTGGAGAGGTCCAGCTTGGAGTCTCTCTGGCAAATCAGAAAGACAAATCTGGTCACCAGGCATCAGGGGTTTTAAAATCTCAGCTCAGCAGAACAAGTTCGTGGAAGGCAAACTCACACTCACCTGATCGACTTCACTTGCATAAGAGCGACTGCCACATGGGGACAAGACAGGAAGGGAAAATTTCTGCACAGGCCTGTTAAAAAAAACCAAAACAACAGCACAATCAGGCATGGAATATCTTGTCCATATCTTGCTGCTGCAACATACACATGAAAAGAAATATATGCTGCCTACATACATGATGTAGGCTGTCATTTGAGAAGATAGAATCCAGTTCTCCTTAGTCTGAGCCTGTGTGTTTCCTACAGTATGAAACATTTGTTTCTCCAAAGACCTTGATGTTATTTCCAGCTGCAGAACCTGTCTGGGTATTATGAAGAATTCTAAAATAGCTCCTGATCTGAAGGCACAAAATGGGCAGTGAAATGTTTACATCTTCAACAGCAACAACACTCTCACTTAAGGGTTGCACAAAGTTGGGATATGGGAAGTCTTTCATTTATCTGATGAGATTATTCTGCTATGGTTTTGTCTCTGATACCTAGCCTGAGGTTGAATTTGCTTGGATCTATCTCACTGCTTCTACACATAGCTCCACGCTTCTGTCATCCTGGATGACACTTCTGCAGTGTCTACCCATTAGATACTCTTAGATTTTATATCCCCTCTTTTCGACTGTTAAGCTAAGAGACGTCTTTGAGCAATACTTGCCATGCAGATGTGAAGCTCCTCCGTACAATATGTCTGACTCCCAGCAAGATAAAACACGTTCACAAAGACAGACCAGAGCAAAGCAACAATGCCTTCAAAGGAGTGAGATTTTATTTAGAAAAGCTATGCTACCATTAGCATTACTCTGTCTTAGGTCTTGCCATCATTCATCAAAACTGGGCCCGGACAACACACTGGAATGACTCCAAGCTCTGTCTTTGCCAGCCACCTCTCTGGACTTCATCAGCTGTTTCATTTTTGCTTCAGGCACTGACATTGCCCTTCTGGAGCATTCCGGCCTTCCCTTAAACTTATCATACTTCATCTACCCCTGGCTCCTCTAACAGCATCTATCCTTCAGCAGAGCTTATCCTGCAGGCTGCTTTTTTGTCTTCTAAGTGAACTTGCATAATCATTCACAATTATCTCCAGCTCAGACATCACAGGCGCTCCCAGGGTGACCTGTGCTACACTGCACAGGAGCTTGCAGACACTCAGGCCTCTGAGCCATATCTTGGGAAAACAAGGCTAGAAAAAGGATCTGTGAAAGCAGAAGCCTTGAACCAGATGGGAAAGGAGCTGATTTACATTCAGGCAGTGGTGTCCACTCACCTTCCTGCAACAGTTTAGCCCTTTTTCTAATTTAGTGTCACAAGTCAAGTCTTGAAATAGCTACAGCCAATTTAACTGCTGCAAATGTCAGTCCCCAGGCAAAGTGTGTGCTAACATCACTGACCTACAATCCTGGACTGGAACTTTTACTTCAACAATAAGCTTCTTGGTGTGTCCTAAAGAGCCCAGAAATGTTCATAACTTTTCTTTTAGTTGCGTGAACTTGTTTTTTATTTTTCAGTGTCAGGTCTGGTCCTGTTATTTCACTGCAAAGCACTGATTTTCTGCACTCAATTCACAATAATGTGCAGAGAATGCCTACTATATTTACTGACATTCTATATCCTACCTTGAACCTGAAGGCAAGGACAAAAAGTGGATGTTGGTTGCTGATCAGCAGGAACATCATCAGCAGAAGCAGCCACGAAGCAATGTGAGCCCCCACACTGTACACGGACGTACCAGGAGCCATTTTTGTCACTCTGCATGACTGAGTTCTAGAGACCACAACCGAGACTTTCAGAATACACAGATGGTCCTCAGATTGAATCTGTGCTTATAACCATGCATTGGCTTTTGTTCAGTTCCTCCAAAAAAAGGGAGCTTGAAGAGTCAAGTATATAAATCCTGCCTCAGTGCATTAAGACACTGGTTTACTGACAGCACTGCCTTTCAGATGAACAGCTGGATTTTCATTTCAGGTTTAGCAGCTTGTGGAGACTTGATTTTTTTTTGCCCTGAGTACAAGATGCATGAAGCACAAATACACAATAAGCAAAACAGAAGGAAGAAAAAAAAACATGCTGGAAGTTCTTTTCTCAAGTTAATAAAACATTAATTAGTATTTTTAAGGCCACAGCAGATTCCTGCTGGTGAGCTTTGGTGTGTGTGGCGCAAACAGGAAATAAAAGTGTTTGCACAGAAAATTAACAGCTTAGCTATCTACAACACCCTGTTACCAGAGCCACCCTTGACCGTGATGGTGCTGGACACCCCTATCAACAGCAGTAGAACACTGGAGGTGGCAGCTCTTGTTTAGCAGGCCATAAGCCACTTTTAAATGGCTTATGTACAATTAGTGGTACATAGACCACTGTTTGGGAACTCTGCTCTAAAACAAAGCCAAGGAAAGCACTTGAACTTCCTCTGGATTTGGACTAGTAGGGTTCCAATCATATAGCAATATAAACAGTGGGGTTTTCTTTCAGAACTAGAAATAGATAGCCAATTTTCCCTTCACGTTCAGAAAAAAACAGCTTCGTTACTCAGCCCACCTCCATTTCTCACTAAAACCTTCCTTCTTAACTTTTTAATTTAATGTGATTCATTGCCTCTTGAATGAAGTCATAGAAACATATGGCAGTTTCTTGCACTGCAGAAAGGCCTACTTGCTGATATTCAAGAATAAATCCTTGCTGGATACTTAATTAATGCTCTACTCCATACATTTTTCACTGCAGTGTGGGAAAAAAAAACCCATGTTGCCAAACCCTCCTTGCATATGGAGTCCATCTCCTCTGCGCTCAGATCAGTGACTGAGCACTGGCACAGGTTGCCTGGGCAGGTTGTGGAATATCCATTCCTGGAGACACTCAAAAGCCTCCTGGACAGAGTTCTGGACAACTAACTCTAGGAGGCCCTGCTTGAGCAGGTGGGTTGGACCACGTGACCTTCAGAGTTCCTTTCCAACCTCAATCACCTTGTGACTCTGTAAATAAACTGCCCCACTGAAATCAAATGAATCTTTGGTGTGTGCTTTACTCAAGATCTCATGCCTTCTTTTCCACCAAGTTACTTACCTAAAGCCACTCCCTGGGTCCTTGAAATTCAGGGCTTTCACAGAGAACTTTAGGAGAGGCCGGGACAGCTTGGTAGCCAACATGCTTTCAATTAACACACTCTACCAAGAGCAAGACTGTTCTTCCTTAGCTCTGCAACACAAGAGAGCACCTCTGTTTTAGTTGCTCAATTATTTTGTAAGACATGCTGACTCCATATATTTCAACAAGAAAATAAAGTCCAAAGGAACTCATCTTTTCCCCTTGCAGTTCCTCATGCTGAGATAAACAGCTCAACCTTGAACCACTTCAAGATACTTTTAAATAAGAAAAAGCATTATAAGTAAACTACCAAGCAGGGAGACATCTAAACAAAATGTGAACTTCTCCTTTAATGCATCTTCAACTGTAGTCTCTGAAATAGGTAAAAATTAAGGTACTTACATGGAATGTATTATTTCAAGTGAGCTATATGAAATAATTTTAAACCAAAATATAACTTCAAGTCACAGGTGTGTATGTATTGATGTTGTGTATTTCCAAAGGAATCCTTGGGCTTTAGAGTAAAAAATAAGTTTCTTTGCAATTAAGTAACTGGTGGCGTTGGACTAGGCACAGGGAACCACCATTAAACTCACTACAGGGTGAAAACACTAAAGAACAAGACTTAGTTATGGAAAGGCAATTTCAATCACGTTTATCTTGGATAAAATTGATCCATAGCACAAAAAAACCCCAAACATTTTCCAGCTTAATGCACAGCCTCCTTTACTGAAGCCGAGAAAGGGTATCTGATTGTTAGGTCTTGTTTGCATCTCTGCCGAAGGCTGGGCCGCCGCCGCGGCAGCTCCGGGGCCTGCTGGGAGCCAGGCCTGGGTTGAAAAACAGCGAGATTACCGCAAAAGACAGCATCGGTGGGCACCGAGCTGCGGAGGGAGGGAGTGGTGCGGGCTCAAGACGACACGCTGCATGGGTTAATCCTCAGAAATCCCGGTGGTTTGATCAAATTTTGGAGCTCAGCTAGTGCCTCGCAGTTTTTTGCGAGGAGCTTTGCAGGGAGCGGGCGAGGCCCGGGTTCCCCGCGGGCCCCCCAGCCCGGCCCATCTCCGGCGCGCAGCTGCCGCGGCCCCAAACGCGGGCCAGGGAACGAGGGGGCGCGGCCCGGCCCGGCCCGCGTGGGGCGCTGCGGGCAGGGGCCGCGCTGGGGAGATGCCGGAGCCACCCGCCCGCCGCGGGCAAGGTCGCCGTGTGGACCGGCTGTCGGGGCTCCACCAGGGTACCGCGACCATCCCCCTCCCGCGCGTTACCTGGACCGGCGGGTGCCGGGAGCTGCTGCCGTTTGAATGAGGCTGGGCCGGGGCCGCGGTGCCGGGCGCGGCGGGGGGCGGGCCGGGGGCAGGGCCGGGCCGGCGGCGGCGATAGGCTGCGGCAATGGGGAGCTCAGCGGGGCTGTTGTTGGCTCTGGGCGCTGCGGGGCTGCTAGTCCTCCGCCTCTTTTTGCCGCGGCGGGCCCGCCGCGCCCTTCCCGTGAGTACGGCGGAGAGGGACCGGGTTCCGCGGGGCACAGCCCGCCCGAGCGCCCCCGCGCCTAAGATGGCGCCGGGCCCTGTAGCCGGGCCGGGGATGGTGTCGCAGCCGGAGCGGCCCTGCCCGGGCCGGGCTGATGGAGCCGGGTGCACAATGGGAGGGGGGCGAAGCGCTGAGCTGGGCCCGGCCCGGGGCGGTGCGGTCCCCCCGCGGGGTTCGCCCAGGCCGCGGTGCGGCGGGCGCTGCCCTCGGATCCCGCGGCGCGGTGGCTGCTCCGCTGCGCGCCCCGGTGTGCCTCACTTGGAGGGGAGCTGTTCGTACAATCATAGAATTGGTTTCGAAGCGACCGTAAAGATCAGCCAGTTCCATCCCCCCCTGCCATGGGCGGGGACAGGTTGCTCCAAGCCCTGTCCAACGTGGCCATGAACACTTCCAGAGGTGGGGCTTCTCTAGGCAACCTGTGCCAGGGCCTCACCTCCCTCACGTAAATTTTTTTTCCTAATATCTAATCTGAACCTACTGTCTTTCAATTTGAGCCCATTCTCCCTGTTACTATATGCTCTTGTAAACAGTCTTGCCCCATCTTTCCTGTAAGTTCCCTTCAGGTTGCAATCATGTCACCCCAAAGCCTTCTCTTTTCCTGGCTGAAGAGTCCCAATTCTCTCAGCCTTCCCTCATAGGAGAGGTGATCCATCCCTCTGATCGACTTGGTGGCGTTTTCTGGACCTGCTCCAAAAGGTCCACATCCTGTGCTGAGGACCCCAGATCTGGATGCAGCACTGCAGGTGGGGTCACACCAGAGCGGAGTAGAGAATCATCTCCCTTGATCTGCTGGCCATGCTGCTTTTGATGCAGCCCAGGATACGATTGGCTTTTTGGGCCAATATTTTTGCTTCAGGGCCTCCAGCTCAGTCCTACCCCCCTGGAATAACATAACAGCTGTGGCCTGCTTGCAGTGTCCTGCTTCACTCTTCCGTCCACTCTCCTTCTCTGACCTTCCCCATCCTTGTTGCACCTGGAAAAATACTTTCATTTTAAGTGAATAATTTCAGTTCTTTATCCTGGGATTGAAAACCTCAACTTTCCAACCCCGGAAAAAGGGAACAAGCCGAGTTTACTGTGTAGCTGCACCCATCTTCAAATCAATCTGTTTGAGAACATCAGGGTAGAGCATAAAAATCCAAATCAACAAATCAAATCAAAAAAGTGGCACAAGAGAAGATGAAGTCTAGGTAAGCATGGGTTCCCTCTTTGACTATGGAGACAGGCTGAAAAAGTAACTTCAGTTTCTTCATCCTATTCTGCAATAAACATGTATAATTTTGATAGATCACCTGCATTAGTAAAATTAATTCTACTATGTAATAAAGCACTCATTCCCAGCAGAAAAAGCTAGTGAGGTGTGTGCACCTGAGCTGGCTGCAGGTTAAAATCAGGCTGCCCTGCTGGGGCTGTTTGAACTGTGAGGCTTGTGTATTACAGTATTGTGTTTCACACAGTGAGGACACAGGCAGTGTTACTCTGCCCACATGCTTCAGCAGCACCTCTGGTACCAGAAGTTATTCTGTGCTTGTAGCACCAGGTGCCCTATCAGCACTGTATGTGAGAGCTGTCCCCTGTGCAGTTTCCCAAGCTGTGCATGAATGTGAGTGAAGGAGGCCCCTGAAGTTCCTCAGAAAGCTCATTAAGGTCACTGTGCTGATAGCTGGTCCTTTCTGCCTGTCCCAGCACTGAGCCATACTGTAAGCTGCAGACTGACCTTATCAAACTCCAGGAACAGGCCCATTAGGCCTCATCTTGGGACCTTATCCTTTCAAAAGATAAGGATGACTGGGCTTTTCTGTGTTTGGAAGTTTTTCTGGGATAGGATCATTTTTACTGGGAATGGGGTTGCTCCCTGCTCTCATCCCTCGGAGCTCTCTGTCCATCAGGTATGGCACAAACAAGTAAGGTACAGATGTGAGATGTATTACATCCCTTGGGTTTTTGCTGCTTGTAGGTGCTGCTGAGACCTCAGTCTGTTACGAGCTGTGCTGCTGAGACCTCAGTCTGTTACGAGCCATGCTGCTGTAGTCTTGTTTTATTGCCAGCAATTAGGGTCATAGCAGATAATTAACAAATAATCACAGGAACCTTCTCATACTGTAAATTCTCATACTGTAAGTTGTTCCTTGCTTTTCTTGCTCTTATAGGCAGCTGAGAGGATTTTTAAATCTCTTCCTTTCTGTCTACATTTTGGTGGTTGGTTTGGGGATATTTTTTTTTTTAACTAGGGAAAGCAAACCATCTGCTGAGAGCTAAAACTAAATGCACAGGGGAGCACAGCCCAGCCATCTCCTGTAGCTGAGCTGTCCTGATCACACCAGCTGATGAAGGAGGAACTAATGATGCTTGAAGATTGGGTATCTTCTTTGTTTGCCTGTCCTGTGTTCTGGAAGTGATTGTAGTTCTTCCTTCACAGTTCCTGCTTTTTTGTAAAGTTCTCTGTCTTCAGGATTCAGAGGCAAAGGGTCTAGGAAAGTGAGGCAGAGGAAGAAAACAGTCAAATCCTTTCTTTTTCCGTGAGCCACCTTGTTGAGTTATTTTGGGAGGTGACTGACAAATTCTGTGATCTGGTTCATGCTTGATTCTTATCTCTCTTGGAGTTGTGTCACTGTCAATTAAATTAGGACTGAGAACTATATATTTAATTCTCATTTATCTTTTGTCCTTTAGCTGTAGCTATCTTCAGAGCTTTAGTCTGTAGCTGGGTGCTCTTTGTCTGAAACAGGAGTCGGTGTTATTGTGGGTGTTTGTGACATAAATGCAGGATAGACTTTTGATCAGTTCTTGTTTCAACTTCAGCTCATGACTTCCCTTTGAGAGCAATAACTTCAACATGAGTTATAGGACTGGGTGTAGCTTATTTGCTTACTGCTCTCTGCTTAGGCTCACCTGAGTTTGTGCAGTAATGCTCTGATCACTATCACCCTGCAATTATCCCTTATTGCTGCTTTACTGCACTGAGTGTCAGCAAAGCAAGAGACAACAGAGCAATGGTGATTGACCCATTTCTGTCTGAAAAAGTGGCTGGACAAGCCGGTGCACTTCATACATAAGTATGTTCATATTCCAGCCTTTGTGAATACAGTAACAGGGAATATTAATTGCAGATATCTTCATACAGATGGAATTGACCTCACTTCCTTATTGCATGTTCTAGACTTTTATTGCTATATCACATTATTGCCTCATGGATATGGTTTCAGCTTGGACCATTGTGCAACACAGCAGCTGGTAGCCTGCTAGTTGGGTTAAAGTGTTAGGAGTTCATTGCTTCACAGCTGTGGTGAGAAGATGACTTTCAAGCAAAGACAGAGGTTGAACATGTTTCTCTTCAGGATTTGGGATTCTGGATTTGGGATTTCTCAAGCCTGTTGTGTCATACGAGCTGGAACATCAAATCTCTCTCAATTTTTCTGTCAGTCAAAAGATAATAATGATGTAGGAGAGAAATGTAGGATTTGAGAAGTTGTTCCTCTTAAGACTGATGAGTTTCAGAAGGAAACTCTAACCTGCAGTCACATTCCTTCATGCTAAAATACAGCAAGGAAAGTGCTGCATAGAGTGGGAGTTGGTGGGGAACAGACAGTCATCACTGGCAGCTAAAAGAGCTGCTGTACTGTTCAAGCCAGTGACATCCTGCCATTTGGATGTTTTCTATGCTGCTTTTTCTTATAATGTCTGTGAGCTGGTAGGTCATTAACTTCTTTTTAAATGTTTCTGTTCTCCTTTCGCCACTGATACTTGAAAGAAAAAGTTCCTGTTCTAGCTCAGGTATGAAGGCAACACAAATTGTTATAGGCCAGCAACTGAATAAATTTAGGATTTCGTGGTAGCTGGGAGCTGATTGTGTTTCTACACTACCATCTTGTCACCTCGTTTACACTGGCTGACCCACTGAAATTATTGGGGTTAGGCTGCAGTGAGGTCTGTGTGCAGACAGGTAATTTGCATCTGGAATTGTACCTCCTAAATGGTGTCTGGCCCTGGCTTCAGGTGGCTCCTGAGGTGTGGGGCAGGGTGCTGGTGATACCTGCATTGCAGTGTCTTGTGATATCATATGATTGTCTTTCCCCACACAGGCTGAAGGGAAGGCAGGGCTAATAACAGGCTGCGACAAACGTTTTGGACATGCCTTGGCAAAACACCTTCATGCAAAGGGATTTACAGTTTTTGCTGGATGCTTACTCATGGTGAGTAGTGATATCGACCAAAATTCTTCTCTGATTAGAGAAAAATGCTTCTCAAGTCAAAGCATTTTCATCAGCAATCTTCTTTTACCCCAGTCCAAGACCCGAGAGAGATGCAGTGGGCAGGGATCGTTACATCTTCTATTGTTTCATCTGCCTGTTGCATTTTGTCATTCCTGTAATTCTGAGCTCTTTACACCAGGGTTTGTCTGTCAACTGCATGTCTGTACAGTAGCTTGCACAGTAGGGCACTGTTTACTGCTAGAAGCCTCTCAGCAATACCACAGCACACTCAGTAAATCTGACAGGCCAGGACTGCTATGGCACTATGGCTTTCTGACTGCCCTGGCATCATTGTTGCTGTCCTTCACACTGTCACTTTTCATGGACCCTCTTCTCAAACTCATCTTTAAGCTGCCTCTCCTGCATTATTCAGGCTTGGTTTCCAAAATGTCTTCTAACTATGCTTCTGAAGCTTCTGTAGAAGCTATTTGGTTTCTGGATAGCTGAATAAACAAATTTAATGTATCTTTCTGACGTCTGTAGGTCTCTGTGTTTGTCTGTAGGTTTCTGTGTTTGATAGTGACATCACTTGTAAGAAATCAGTTTAGACACACTGAATCAGAAGTTGTTGCAGACCCCTCATCCCACAGTCCCTGCTCTTGCATGGGACTTACAACTTAGTGTTGTGAAATCC